CCTGCTCTTGGGGCCTCTTGAGGCCTCCTGGAGCCTTTCAGGGCATTATGGTGCATCCTGGCGCTCCCAGCGGCCTCCTTTGAGCTCCCCATATGTGCATCTACTTGCACGGGCCTTTCCTCGGTGAGAGTCGAGGCGCAGGAGACTTCGAACATAGACGGGCTTGAGTATTGATAGACTGGAAGTGAATCTAACTGCGAACGACTTGGAGCGTGAATGAACCTCAGTAGTACGAGTGGGTAAATGTGCATGCGCCTCCTAGGGCCTCCTGGGGCCTCCTGGTGCCTCCTGGGGCTTCCTGGGGCCTTCTGGAGACTCTTGGGGCCTCCTGGGGCCTCTTGGGGGTTCGTTCCTGCGACCCCCTGAAGCCTCCAGGGGCCTTGTGTGGGAGTGACTTTCAATGTGAAAAGAACTGGAATGCATATGAATCTCAATAGTACGAGTGAGTCTATGCGCATGAGCCTGGGGCCTCCTGGGGCCAGCTGCCGCCGCCGCGTGAGCCTCCTCTGCCCGGCGCGTCGCGGCTGCCAGGGCTTCGTCCGCAGCGGTCGCGGCAGCTGCTGCCTTCCGCGCCACCGCCCGGAGCCCCTCCAAGCGGTTGCCGGAGCGTCGCTGCGCCTGGCGCGTGCGGGCTGCGGCCTCGGCCTGCTCCAGCGCCTCAAGGGCTGCAGGCTGCAGGTTGCGCGCCTCCCTCGCGCGCGGCGGCCGTGGCCCTGCGGAGGGCGTCGGCTCGGGCCCCTGGCCGCAGCGACTGGGCGCCGGGCAGGGCTGGCCAGGTCTTGGCCCCAGCTTGGCCGGCGGCGGCCGGCGCAGGCGGTGGGCAGGTGGCCGGCGCGCCGCCCCGGGCAGCGCCGCACCTGCGGCAGTCCCCGCGCTCCGCCCAGCTCGTGCTGCCGCAGCCGCAGCGCCACTTTGGCCGGCGAGGCGGGTGGTCCGCCTGTTGCGGTTTCCCGCTGCGCCGGCCGGCCCCTTTAAAGAGGCTCCGCAGCAGGTCCGCCGCCAGCTCGGCATCACCTGCCTTCCTTCCCGACCGTCCTCCTCCTCCTCCTCCTCCTCCTCCTGTCTCCTCCTGCCTCCTCTTCCTCCTTCTCCCCCATCCAGCTAAACATTCCCCATCAACCCAACCACACCCTCTTCCGCATCATGCCTCCACCCGCCCCCCCCAACCTTCCTCCTCCTCTCCTCCTCCTCCTCCTCCGCCTCCTCCTCCTCCTCGTCCTCCTCCTCCATTCTACTGTCCATCCTCCCTCTTACTCGCCCATCCTCCGCATACCTCATCCTCGATCATTCTTACCCTCAACCATCCTCCTCAACCATCCTCCTCAACCCTCCTCGAGTAGACAGGGAGAGTGGAGAGCAGGGGCGATAGGAGCATATTGAAGATTACAGGATCGAGTGGCCGCAGATGACGTGTAGAGAAGATGTAGACTACAAACGCTCACCATCGCTCACACCACATCAAGAACATAAGGCGAAATGCCCGCGCACCCGCGCTTACACGATGGAGGTGCGAGGTCAGGATGGGCAGCATGAGGCACAACAAATACTTGAGCAACTGTGCGACGAGCGTGCACGCTCACGTGAGCGTTTTTTTTATTCGGCGTGTCGACATTGGGCGGAATGGGGAGGGGGGAGGGGGGAGGTTTCTGGCTCCGGACCTCTGCTTGATGCATCTGCTTGCAACGGTGCGTCCTGTGGGGGAGGCTCCACCTGCTTGAAGCAGGCGCCAGAAACAGCCAAAATATCCACTCCATGGGGGGGGGAGGGGGGGTGCGAGGGCCCGCGACGATCGGCAAAGCAATGAATCAGAAAACGATCACCACGCTGCTCTTCCCTTGATCCTCCTCTTCCTCCTCCTCCCTCCTCCTCCTCTTCCTCCCTCCTCCTCCTCTGAACATATCAATCGTCCTTCGGCCTCTTCGGCTCGGAGCTGGACCTGTCCCGTTCGGCGGGCGCGCTCTGCTTTTGCTTGGTCTTCTTGGCTTTGGCCTTCCCCTGAAGCAGAGGAGTCGGGGGGGGGCCCTGCGCAGGCGTCCCTGCGCTGTCCATTCCCCTGCTGCTCGCCCTGCTGCTCTGCTGCTCCTCCTCGGTGGCCTCTCTTCTGCTATGTCTCTCTCTCTCTCTCTGTCTCTCGCTTTTTGTGTTTTCTCTCTCTCTCTCTCTCTCTCATGTTCATACATATATATAGTATGCTACTGATTTGTTTTTTTTCTCTCTCTCTCTCTCTCTCCCTACACATACCTATATCGTGTATACAGATATTGATGTTTGTTTTTTTTTCTCTCTCTCTCTCTCTCTCTCCCTAAGCAGGGAGAGAGAGAGAGAGAGAGAGAAAGAGAGAGACAGAGAAACGTCATAACAAAGATAGCTAGAGAGAGAGAGAGAGAAAAACAAAAAGAGAGAGGGGGAGAGGGAGAGAAAGAGAGAGAGAGAGGAAACAAAGAGAGAGCGAGAGAGAGAGAGAGGTTGAAGGAGACACGCCATCACAACGTTTGACTGGTTCGTGCCAACGTCCCTCCGGCATCCTCGGGCGGGCGCCGTGCCTCCGAACGATCCCCGCCGTGCGCCCGCTGCACCTCGGCAGCCCCGGCCAACTTTGCTGAGGCCGCCAAAAGGCAGCCGCACCCGACATCAACCTGTCCCTAAAGGGAGGAGGAGGAGGAGGAGGAGGAGGAGGAGGAGGAGGAGGAGGAGGAGGAGGAGGAGGAGGAAGGCGGCCTCACCCGACAGCAACCTGTCCCTAAAGGAAGACCGCGCTGCCGTCCTCCAGAGCAGTCGTGGCGTCGACCGAGCAGTCGCTGCATACGACGGACTCGTTCACGCGGTACCAGATACCATCAGCACTGCTCCAGCCAACGCAGGCTCGGGAGCGAGCTGATGAGACTCTGCTGGCAAAGCCAGATCAGCTGCACCGTGCTGCGCTACCCCCTCACGTACAACAGGGCCTCAGAACATGACCCACCAGGAGTCACGGTCGACACCGATGCCCACCAGGGCAAAGGCAGGGCCCCTCTTATCAGCCTCGATGCACAAAACTGGAGCGTCCCCGTTACCACCGCGCCCGTCAGAGAGGGCAACGGGCCGTCGCACACCAGCAGTATCTCACTTCACGCGCTAGAGGAAGGCGACAGCCTACTACAGTAGATTCGCACACAAGAGAAACCTCTAGCGCTTGTCTTCGTGGGACCCATCAACACCGACTACCAAGGAAAATCGGCTGGCCCCCACGTGGGGCCATCAGGCTGCGCGGATTAGGCTTGCTGCTCCCTGCTCCAGTTCCAGTTTCCAATGTCATAGTCCTATGATCGACTTTCTCTGGTAAATTATCCAAGTCCGCGCGAGGAAGGGAACCCAACACCGTCCAACTCACCACGCCCTCCGGGTGGTCTCAGGTTCTTTTGTGGGGGCCTGGGACACGTAAGAATATGTATAATATGGGAGATTCGCGTACCCAAGACCATAAACCTTCGTAGATCAAAGAATGTTCGCGTGCCCGAGGCCATAAACTTTTGCAACTTCGTAAGATTCGCGTCCCCGAGGCTACCCGCGTGAATTACACTGGAACCGTCGCGCGCGCTTCGCGCGCGCACACGCTCTAGCTAGATTGGGCGCCAGACCAGAAATGGGAAGGTATCGCTGGCGTCTCGGGGTCATCTTGGAGCCCCCATAGCTCCTCCATGGCCTCTCCTCACCAAGGCACGCCGAATAGCGAAAGCATCAGAAAAAATGAAGATCCCCGAGTTCGTAAGCAGTGAATGCCAAAGGGTGCGGAGTAAATCCAACGATGTGAAGGTCATATTGGCGCACCCCTTGGACCTATCGGAAATGAAGAGGCGAGGAGGCAGATGGAGGAGAAAGAGTGAGTGGAGTGAGGAGACGAGCTATGCAGGAAGAGGGGCGGTAACGCGGGGAGTGGAAAAGGAGGAAACACGAGTAAACGATAAATGCCAGGTGATATGCGGGAACAGGGAGCGAGACTGTGGGGCGATCTGTGCGGGAAGAGGGATGGATGAGGCGCCTCATTCTCTGCGCGACGCCTGCAAGGCGGCCCGGCAAGCTGCTACGTTCGAGCGCAGGTAGCATGCCGAACGGCCCGCTGAAGAATCTCCACCACTGAACACTCAGGTTAGCCCTGCATGTCAGCCTAACACACCCAGGCGCGAGTGAGAAACCGACTGGCACGCTGAAGTATTACCGCCGCCGAATTCTCATGGAAGAGGCAACGGGTGAGAGAGGACGGGCGCGGGAGGATCAGCAGCGACCAGACTCTGCGGACAAACTATTGAGTTGTCTGCAAGCGGCGCTCGCCATCTGTTCCGAGCTCCACTGATGGCGAACGCTCCGCAAACTCCAACCGGAAGCGCCACCGGGCGACATCCTGGGGGGGCGCCGCCGCCGGCAGGCACACAGCGATAGCCCCTGGCGCAGAGCCCAGCACGGTGGCGAAGACGGGTCGACGGCCCTCGAGCACTCGGCAGAGCGAGGGCCAGCCCTCCGCAGCGCAGGCGGCCCCGCTCGGGCCGTGCGAGAAGAGCCCCACGGGCTCGCCCCGTCTGCCGCTCCACGGGAGGGGTCGCTGCCTCCTCCCCGCTCCACGGGAAAGGTGGCCTGCCGCCGGAAGAGGGCGACCTCCCTGGACCGTGGTGGCCTGCAGCCGAAAATGGTTCTCATCCAGAGAGTGCTCCTTTGATAAATCTGGGCCAGCTTCCCAGCCTGAGAGAGAGGGAGAGAGAGAGCGTGATCCTAATGTTGGTGCCCGGGTGCCCTGGCCCTCGCCTGTTGCAGGAGCGAGGTGCCACCTCGGCACGGGGCAAAAAGGGCCAGCGTCCTTGCGACGAGGCCAAGCGCACCTGTTGACCTCGGGTCTACGAGGGTCATTGGACGCGGGACTGGCTACCGTGGGAAGAATCTCGACTTGAAGGTATTCGATTCATCCCACCCTCTGGAGAGTGGAATATTAGGCAGGACCAGTCCCCCCCCCTCCCCCCCCCACTCGAGATCCACCACCCCCTCCCTCCAGCATGAGCTGCGTACAGAGCTTAATGTATTAACGTAGAAAGAGATCTACGCTGGCGCCCTCAGATGTCGCACAGATAGAGTATGGCCGTTATGCCGATGTAGAAGATGCTGCTCACCGCTGTCCACAGGACATAATCCACGAAAAGGTATGGAAAATAAAGAGAGGCAGAGAAGATCAACTGGAGCGACCCGCAGAACGCAGAGCAACCCAATACCGCGCGGAACGGCGGAGACCTCATCGCGGACTTCGGGCGAAAAATGTCGAAGGAGTAGAAGACGACGCGGGTAAACAGGGGCACGTACACGAATGTTCCGCTGGCCCCCAGCCTGAGGTAGATCAGGGCGGAGAGCACGTCGCCAGACCTCCAAAGCCAAATGGCTTCGCCGATGGAGCAGAGGAACCACGGCATGGCCCCCATGACGCAGTATCTGTACGGCAGGAACGAACGGGCGCGGACGAGATCGTGCATGGTGTCGCGGACATAGCTCTCGAAGGCCTCGACGCATCCGAACCAAGCGACGACGGACGCCTCGATCAGGACTCTGTCGCAGCCCATGCTCTCGCCGGTCTTCGGGTTAACGTGCCCGACCGCGCAGCAGAAGCAGTTCGACCCCCTCAGGGAGAAGTTCTTTAACTGGATGCGCTGGTCCTTCAGCAAACTCACGTATCGGAGACCCCCGTACGCCAAACAGAGGACAGACAAGGTCACGGAGACGGTGTTGGCCGAGACGCTGATCACCGCACCTTTCAATGATATGTCTGGGAGACTCTCCCCAGAAAAACTCGCTGACATTTTCATGCAGAGTATCATCACCGAGATGGCCAAGAACGTTCCCCACGTCAGCATGCCGTTGGGCACCGGTACCCCCTTCATCCTCTTGGAGGCATCGCCGTTGAGCTGCAATTTCAAGTAGGCTGCACACTCGAACACGCACCAGAACCTAGTCCAGTATGTCTGGTCCCAAAGCAAGACCATGCGATCCGAACACTTCAGGGTGCGGCCGAGGCTCAAGATGCCCCTTTCCTTGGCCTCCTCGTCGTCTTGAGGAATGCACGCGAAGTCGAGGAACACGCGCCCAGGAATCGCGGAAGTCAGCACCAGGACGAAAGCCACGCAGGTCGACAGGAGCATAACGAGGATGCCTGCAAACTTGCTGTCTGGCACCCAGTCCAGCGGCATCAGGCAAGCGCCGACGACGGCCGTGAGGATTCCCACCGCGGCGGACTGGAGTCCGTTGTAGTGCAGCAGGAGCATCATCGTGCGGGCGGTGTCGTTGCCGTGCCTGCTATACGACCAGAAGTCGTCAATCTTGCTCGCGTCTGTGGCGTACTTGGCCGCGGTACGCTGTTTCCAGAAGATGCGGCCACCACCCTTAAGCGCTGACCTTACATCGATGGCGACGACCGGCGACGAGCCGTTGCTCACGACAGGACCCATGGTGAACGGAAGCTTCGATAACCGGCGCTCCTCGTCCTCCTCGGGCACCGGCGTATCTCCGCGCTGCGGGTCGGGCGCCTCCGTCGGCCACAGCGCCTCTTCCGCGGGATACTTCGGTTTCGTGGGCTCTGCGCCGCCCCCTGCGGCCGCGGGGATGGAGTCCATCGCGCCCCTCGCTGCCGGCGGGTCCGACGGCCCGAGCCTAACTAGGGGCCCTTGAGCCACAAGGGATTGAGCCAGAGTGGCCTCGGAGGGGCCCCTTGGGCCGTCCTGAAGCGTCGGGGTGCCACGCGGCGGGAGGCCCGAACATCGGGGGAAAGCAGCGACTTTTGCCTCTCGGGGCCTTCTTGAGACACCTCTTGGGAGGCCTCTTGGGCCCTCTGCGGAGCTCCTTGGGGGCCTCTTGGGGCCTCTGGGGGGCGCCCTGGGGCCTCCTGAAAGCATATCGGGGTGGAAAGCTCGCATTATCGGTTCGTGTGACCCTTCTTGGGCCCCTCTCGGGGCCGTTTTGGGGCCCTCTCGGGCTGCCTTGGCCGCCTCTGGCGCCGTCTTGGGGCCCTCTTGGGCCCCTCTTGGGGCAGTCTTCGGGGCCTCTGGGGCTCGCGTTGGGATCTTTTGGGCCGTTCTGGAGCGTCGGAAAACTGGAAAAGCGATAACTCGAAAATCCTTCAAGAACCTACGGCAGGTCAATTATTTGTGCCTCCTGGGGCTCCCCGGGATGCATCTTGGACAGTCAGGGGCTAATTATGGTGTAATCTTGGGCCGTCATGAGTCAATGTCGCAATCTGGAAATGCAATTGCTGGCAATCTGGAGCCGTCTTCGGGACTCGTGCCCAGGTGCGCGCGTGTGTGCATATATACCTACCTACCTACCTACCTACCTACCTACCTACCTACCTACCTACCTACCTACCTACATACATACATACATACATACATACATACATACATACAAACGCACATGCATACATACATACATACATACATACATGCATACATACATACATACATACATACACACATACACACATACATATATGCATACACATGTGTACATGTATACATATTTATGTATATAGTTATGTGTATATTTATACATATAAATATATGTGTATATATATACTAGAACCACGCGCGCGCTTCGCGCGCGCTTAGGTTCTGTCGAGTCACAGACCCAGGAATCGTTGCGAGAAGAAATTGGTGACGCGAAGCGTCTTGGGGGCGTCCTTGGACGTCCGGGGTCTCCTGGGGCCTCTTGAGGGGCCTCCTTGGGGCCTTCTTGGGCTCCATCTGGAAGCCAAGATGGATGCAACAAGAGGGTGCTTGGGCTCTCCGTGAGCTATCCTCTGGTTTTCATTCCCCTGGAGAGGAGAGGAGGAGGAGGAGGAGGAGGAGGAGGAGGAGGATGAGAAGGAGGAGGAGGAGGAAGATGCAGAGGAGGGAGGAGGAGGAAGGAGAGGAGATGTTGGGGCGCTCTTGGGGCCCTCTTGGGCTCTGTTGGGGTTCGTCGGGGCCCTCGTGGGGCCACCTTGGGCTCCTCTCGGAGCTCCAAGAGGAGCCCACAGAGGGGCCCAACATCGGTCACGCGAGAGCTCTTTCGCGTGACCGATGTTGGGGCCCTCTTGGGGCCCTATTGGGCCTCCTTGGGCCCTCTTGGGGTCTCGACGGGGCCCTCGTGGGGCCATCTTGGGCTCCTCTCGGAGCACCAAGAGGAGCCCAAAGAGGGGGCCCAACATCGGTCACGCGAGAGCTCTTCCGCGTGACCGATGTTGGGGCCATCTTGGGGTTCCTTGGGCCTCCTTGGGCCCACGTGGGGCTCCCTCGGGGCCCTCGTGGGGCCATCTTGGGCCCCTCTTGGAGCTCCAAGAGGAGCCCAAAGAGGGGCTCAACATCGGTCACGCGAGGGCTCTTCCGCGTGACCTATGCTGGGGCTCTCTTGGGTCCCTCTTGGGCCTGCTTGGGTCCTCTTGGGGTCTCGTCGGGGCCCTCGTGGGGCCATCTTTGGCTCCTCTCGGAGCTCCAAGAGGAGCCCACAGAGGGGCCCAACATCGGTCACGCGAGAGCTCTTCCGCGTGACCGATGTTGGGGCTCTCTTGGGGCTCTCTTGGGTCCCTCTTGGGCCTCCTTGGGCCCACGTGGGGTTCCCTCTGGGCCCCCTCTTGGGCCCGTCTTGGGGCCCTCTTGGGCCATCTTGGGCGCCTCTTGGGCCGTCTTGGGGCCCTCTTGGGCTGTCCTGGGGCCCTCTTGGAAGCTTCTTGGGCCGTCTTGGGGCGGTCTTGGGCGCCTCTTGGGCCGTCCTGTAACGTCGGAAAGCCCAAAAGACAACTTTGTTGAAAATGTACGTTTTACGAAGGGAATGGGCCAATTTTTGCGTCGAGGGGCCCTCTTGGGACGCATGTTGGAGGCTTCTTGGGGCCTCTTGGGGGCGTCCTTGGACGTCTGGGGTCTCCTGGGGCCTCTTGAGGGGCCTCCTGGGGGCCTCCTGGCGGCCTCTTGGGGCGGAAGGCTCGAGCTTGCGGTTCGTGGTCCCCCTCTGGGCCCCCTCTTGGGCCCGTCTTGGGGCCCTCTTGGGCCATCTTGGGCGCCTCTTGGGCCGTCTTGGGGCCCTCTTGGGCTGTCCTGGGGCCCTCTGGGAAGCTTCTTGGGCCGTCTTGGGGCGGTCTTGGGCGCCTCTTGGGCCGTCCTGTAACGTCGGAAAACCCAAAAGGCGACTTTGTTAAAATGTACGTTTTACGAAGGGAATGGGCCAATTCTTGCGTCTAGGGGCCCTCTTGGGACGCATGTTGGAGGCTTCTTGGAGCCTCTTGGGGGCGTCCTTGGACGTCTGGGGTCTCCTGGGGCCTCTTGAGGGGCCTCCTGGGGGCCTGCTGGCGGCCTCTTGGGGCGGAAGGCTCGAGCTTGCGGTTCGTGGTCCCCCTCTGGGCCCCCTCTTGGGCCCGTCTTGGGGCCCTCTTGGGCCATCTTGGGCGCCTCTTGGGCCGTTTTGGGGCCCTCTTGGGCTGTCCTGGGGCACTCTTGGGAGCTTCTTGGCCCGTCTTGGGGCGGTCTTGGGCGCCTCTTGGGCCGTCCTGTAATGTCGGAAAGCCCAAAAGGCAACTTTGTGAAAAATGTACGTTTTACGAAGGGAATGGGCCAATTTTTGCGTCTAGGGGCCTTTTTGGGACGCATGTTGGAGGCTTCTTGGGGCGTCTTGGGGGGCGTCCTTGGACGTCTGGAGGCCATCTTCAGCATCTCGGAACCCTCTTGGAGGCCTCTTGGAAGTTTCTTGGGCCGTCTCGGGCGTTTCTGGGGCCGTCTTGTCTGACCGGGGAGGCCTCCGGCAAGCCCCGACGAGCCTCCGGGCCCCCCGGGGTGCACATTTGCGGTCGAGGTCCCGGCCCCGGGCCCCCGGACCCGGTGCGCCGTTATATGTATACACACAAACCTATAATTATAGGACCGCCCTGCGAGCGATAACGCTGGGGGGGGGGGATGGAGATCAAATGCCCACCCTGACTGACCTCGAACCTGTCACCCTGATGTCATCTCTCCCTGTCTCTCTCTCTCTCTGTCTCTCTCTCTCCCTCTCGCTCTATTTCTTTCTCTCTCCTTCTCTATGGCAGGCGGACGGAGGGACGCCACGGTGCGGTTTCCGAAAGGCAAGGGCGCCGAACGCGCAAGCCTCGCAGTCTGCCGCGATCGCGCCCAGGCGCCGACAAAAATGAATTGATGGATTGGGTTGGGTGGATTGGATTGGATGGGATAAGATGGATTGGATAAGATAAGATGAGTTGGATTGGAAAAGCTTGATTTGATAATATAATATGGATTGGGCTGGCCCGCCGCAGGCGCAGAAACAAATGAATTGATGGATTGGATTGGGTGGGATAAGATAAAATGAGACAAGATGGGTTGGATAAGATAAGATGGATTGGATTGGACAAGATGGATTTGAACAGATAAGCTGGATTGTATAAGAAAGCCCGCCGCAGGCGCCGACAAAAATGAATTCTGAAATTAACGACATGCGTTAGCGCCAGCACGCCGGGGACACCCGGAGCACCCGGGACACCACCTCCCGGCCACCGGCGGACGGGAAACGGACTTCCGCTCCAACTGACACCCGGGACACCCGGGACACCGCCCGGCCCGACTGGGACACCTCCCGGCCACCGGCGGACGGAAACGGACTTTCGCTCCTACTTCGGCCTAGCTACAGGATGATCACGCGCAGCTTCGCCTCGCCCGCACGCACGACACGAACGCGAAACCGAAACCGATGTCCCGGCCCATCTTATCCTATCCCACCCAACGCAATCCACCCAACCCAATCCATCAATTCATTTGTTTCTGCGCCTGCGGCGGACCAATCCAATCCATCTTATCTTATCCGATCCAGGTATTCCAATCCAACACATCTTATCTGATCCAATCCATCTTATCCCATCCAATCCAATCCACCCAGCCCAATCCATCAATTCATTTGTGTCGGCACCTGCGGCGGGCTTTCTTATCCAATCCAGTGGAGGGAGACTCTGGTAGAAGGGGAGAGAGAGAGAGAGGGAGAAAACAAAAAAACACACACACAGAGATAATGAGAGAGAGAGAGAGAGACAGAGAGAAAGAGAGATATGACATCAAGGTGACAGGCTCGAGGTCAGTCAGGGTGGGCATTTGACCCCAATCCCCCTCCCAACCTCCTTATCGCCCGCAAGGCGGTCGTTTAGATGCGTGTATGTATGTGTAAATATATATATACATACATACATACATGTGTATATATATATGTATATATATATATATATATATATATCGGAAGTTGGGGGTGAGATCGCAGTGAAACGGAGACCCCCCCGGGAGATCGATTTCGGTTTCGCGTTCGCGTCGTGCGTGCGGGCGAGGCGAAGCTGCGCGTGATCCTCCTGGAGCTAGGCCGAAGTGAGAGCGAAAGTCCGTTTCCGTCCGCCAGTGGCCGGGAAGTGTCTCAATTGGGCCGGGCGGTGTCCCAGGTGTCCCGGGTGTCAGTAGGAGCATAAGTCTGTTTCCCGTCCGCCGGTGGCCAGGAGGTGCCCCAATTTGGCCGGGCGGTGTCCCGGGTTTCCCGGGTGCCCCGGGCGTCCCGGCGCTAACGCATGTCGCTAATTTCATAATTAATTTGTTTCGGCGCCTGCGGCGGGCTTTCTTATCCAATCCAGCTTCTCTTCTCCAATCCACCTCGTCCAATCCGATCCATCTTATCTTTTCCAGCCCATACTGTCCCATCCCATAT